TAACGCGCATGCAGGACCAACTCCAGCTAGTGGTCCAGTCTGCATACCCAAAAGTTAATGAACATGAAAGGTAAAAGAGTTTGCACCCAAAAAACCGTGCACGCTCACCCTGCAGTGTAACAATAGCCATAGCAGGCCACACGACTACTATGGGGCCTAGGGTAGGAGGGGGCCCCATTCGGGGGCTGATTAGGAAAACTACACAGTGAGGTTTCCAATATAGAAGCTCAGGATCATCTAGTCACAGATCCCCCTCTGTGCCACAAGAAGAATTTTCTCATATATCTTAGCAACTTTTCCTACAGACTGAAATTAACTGCCTATACCTGATGAAGTTACAAATCCTAGAGCTTCACTTCTGTTCAAACCTTATAGGAGGGCTGAGGTTTGTGGTTCTACAAAAAAGTTTAACGATGCCAGAGTTTAAAGACGTTTGTATTAGTGTTGAAGAGTTGACCAAATACTTATTTTCCACCATAATTTGCAAATAAATTGGTTCCAAATCAGCCAATGTGATTTGTCTGGATTTGTTTTCTCATTTTGTCTCTCATAGTTGAGGTCTACATATGATGCCAATTACAGGCCTCTATCATCTTTTTAAGTGGGAGAACTTGCACAATTGGTGGCTGACTAAATACTTTTTTGCCCCACTGTATATAAGTGATGCACCGATACCATTTTTTCAAGTACAAGTACCGATACTTGCCAAAGTACTCACAGATACAAGTACTGATACATTTTTGTTTATTGTCAGTTTCAGTCTTTTTTTTCTAAAACAATACAGAGTAATGATTTCAGGACAGTGATGGAGCGCCAGAGTCCGGTCCCAGCTGCAACCGCTGCAACCCTGGTAGTTCTCATGAAAATGCCAAGTATCGGCACTACTATCTGAACTGACATCTGGACATCCCTAATTACAACGCACATATGTAAGTTTGAATATGCCTTAGCGATCACACTTCTGCACTGCGTTGAAATTCATCTTAAATGGCACCCCTATGCATCAAAACAGTAGTGGACAATGCACCCTACACTGCAGCACACCACAATCACAGTCAAAAGAACGGACGGCTTGCATGCAAAGTGCGCAACATAATGCCCATTCATTAATGCACTGCAACACAGTGCTAAAATGTAAATGAGCCCTTGGGGTTTACTCCCGCGGATGTATAATTTATTCTGGCAGTCAGAATTTCAGTTAAGTATAAAAATGGCCTTTATCGAATCAGTTTTGAATGCCTGTAATCTGTGGTTATAGTGAGTTGCCATACAGCAGCTGAAAGTGGAAGGTAAGCATGGGTAGGGTGGCATGGGTAGGGTAGCAAGGCAGGTATTTATGGAGGTCTATAGGAGGGAGAGAGCTCAGGATGGGTATCGCTAGTAAAATAATGTTCACTAGGACCCTAAAGAACAGTCAGGGGCTGGGTCTGTAGCACAAGGACCTGCAGTCTCTGGCAAGTGATGCTCACCCCCCGGTGCCATACTGTGTGAATAAAAGACTGTACACATTCATTTAAGTCTGCTATGTAGACCGTTAAATTAACATTAAAGTCAGATTCTGATTTAATTTACAGTCTGATCCAGCGCTGACTGCTGTGTCTTCCTGTCTCACAGAATCTGTGCGCGTGCACGCTGCCAGGCTACTTGCATTGACTTACCCTGCGTCTTCTCCTGGCCGAAGATCTCTACTATGCATGCGCCCGCCCTATAATCCTTCACGGCCGCTGGAGAATTTTTCAGATCTTCGGACAGGAGCAAGCGGTAAGGTAAGCAATAACCTTTTTGGTGACTTTTTAAGTGTTTTAATGTTTTTGCATATATCTACTGCTTGCTAGCAACAGACATATGCAAAAAAAAGCAAGGTTTAATTTGCAGATCCTGCAAGCGATCGGGCGTCTCTAGAGACGCCTGACCGCTTGTATGTAAACAGCCATCGCTGGCTGTTTACATGCTGACGGTTTTCCCTCTCGTGTGCGGCGCTCAGCGCGGACACGAGAGGGGGGAGGGGCAGGACGTCTTAAGACGCCCTCCCGCTCTGAGCAGACGTCCATCTGGCCGTTCACAAACGGCCATGGAGTAAGGTAGTTAATTATGATTTAATTAAGTAGTCAGGTGTTTAGCTGGAAGTGCCCTCCAAAGAGCTTCTAATTCAACTGGACAGATATGAACAGCATTATATAGTATAGTGTTGAATAAGTCAGCTCTATACTGTATAAACCAACATTAAAAGCAATAATCAATATCAGGACTGGACAAATCCCAGGAGCCAGGTAGCCAATGCTCCTTAATAAATGACAGCTAGAGCCTAACTTTTGAGGTTTTCTCAGAGCTGGCTCTGAAAAAATCCAGCTGGCTCCTGCATTGGACAGACTGACTCCTGAATCCCATAATAATTCCTCCACTCCTGATCTACATGACAAACCTCCATGGCAATGCCAGTAATCTAGACCTACCTGCTCCTGGAGAACCGTGTCCAATTTGTGCCGTAATTCTTCATTTTCCAAACGCGTTCTTCCTAAAATGGAAGAATCCTCTTCAAGTTTTCTAGTCAATTCATCAATTCTTTGTAGCAAAGATTCCCTTTCCATTAAAAGATCAGCAGATTCCTGATGGGAAATCTGAATTCGAGGTGATAAATTAGAATGTACTTTAGTTGGACGCATAGTTTCCTCCCTTAAACCTTCTCGAGAATGAGAAGCATCGTCTGATACAACAAGACTGCACTCTGTAGAGTGTCCTACATGAACTTGGACGTTGTCATTCCTCTGGCCGGGTTCACTGTCCAATTCTAACACTACTTCCTCTGTTTTAGTAGAGTCTCTCTCTGAGCATAGCGATTTTACTTGCTCTTTTAAGTGACATATTTCATTCTGTTTCAACTGTAATTCTTGAGAGAGATTAGAAAGTTTCAAAGAGAGTTCTTGCTTGTCCCGTTGGGCAATCTCTAGCTTTTCCATCAGTTCAGTCGTGTCTTTCTCTACAACTTCTCCAACATCTGGTCTGTCAGCTTTGACCACGTTAGAAGCTCCAGACACAACCAAATGGGCCTCAGTTACTGTACCCTGTTTCAGCGCTGCAAGCTCGTTCGTAAGAGCATCCAACTTTGTTTTATACTCCTCTTCAAGCTTAGCTTTGCTCTCTTCCATCTGTTCCTTCAACTTCACCAGACAAGAATACTCCTCTTTTAGCTCATTGTAGTTGACCTCGAAATTTTTCTCGGCAAAGGAGAACGTGTTCTTTTGACGTTCAGTTTCTTCTCTCAGCTGATGTTCCAAGTTCCTGAGTTGCGCATTTTCTGAAGTCAGCAGTTCAACCATATTTTTTAGGTCAAGATGATCAGAACTTACAGAGTCTGTCAGATTTTCACAGTGTTCAACGGTGCGCTCCTTCAAGGTACTCTGCAAGGCGTCGTATTGGTCATTAAGAAGCTTATTGTCTGTCTCCAAAGACGCCACTTTTTCCTTGAGCGTATCTTTTTCTTTGACCTCCTTCTCGAGTGTCACAATTTTTAGCTGCAGAACCTGAACTTCTTGCTCCAGTGTACCTTTCTCCTTTTCCTCTCTCCTCAAACACTCCAGCTCTTTCTGAAGCTCGTTAATTCGCGTCATCATTTTTTCCGACTTGGGATCGTTGACCGACTGCAACAAGTCTTTCAACTTTGACATTTCCAGCATCAAGTAATTCTGTTTGGTTATCAAGCTGTCTTTCTCCGACTGCATGGCAGTGATAGTTTGACTCGTTTCCTGCTTCATTTGATCTATTTTCTGCTTATATTGCACTTCTAAGTTGTCTTTGAGGTTCTCAATGTTGGTTCTGTGCTCCTGGGTTAAGTCCTCCTTGAGCTTCGTGAGCTCCTCTTCCTGGCTGAACAAGAAATAGGTTCTAAGTTTCTCCAATTCGGCTTCCTGAGATTCCGCCATCCTGCCCAACACAGCGTCCTTTTCCCTTTCCAGCATCTCCAGTTTGATCTTGTAATTGGTCACCTCGGCCTCGTGTTTGGATTTTAATTCTTTGGTAAATTCGTTGGCTGCGGCCAGTTCGGCTTTGAGACTGTCGATGGTGACGAACAAACTGCTGGCCTCGTTCAGTTTGTTTTCCTTTTCGGTGAGGCTCTGCCTGGCTTTGTGCACCTGCTCCCTGGCATAGCGGAGATCCTGCAGGAGATCCTCGATTTGCTGCTGTAGCTGCGATTTTTCCTTTGAAACGGCCTGCAGCCTCTGAGAGAAATCCTCCTTCATTTTATCCCTCTGCTCATCGGATTGCTGCAATCTACCGTTTAATTCACTAATGATCACGTTCAGCTCATTGATCTGTTGCTTGGAGGTGCTGATGGCTGCCTGGCTCGTTACACTGCCCACTTCTTGCCTGTGCTGCGCAAGCAGCCTCTCGATCTCCAGTGTGTGTTGCTTGACCAATTCCTGCTTCATCTGTACAATCTCCTGCCCGTGAACCTCGTCTAGCTCAGCCTGAAGCTGCTCCAGTTTCCTTTGTGTCTCTAATTCCATTCGCTGCAGAAGGCCTGCCTCTGACTGATTGTCTCTGTGATGCTTTTTCTGAAGGTCCTCCACAGTGCCCATTAACTGCTTGATTTCGTCAGAGGATCTCCTCTCCTTTTGTCTGGAGCTGCTCAGCTCTTCGGAAAGGCTGCCGATTTCCTGGCTCTTCTGGGTTAATTGTGCTCTCAGTTCATCGATGGATTTCGCGGCCTCGGTGATCCTTTCCTTCATTTCCAGGCTCTTGATTTCTCCATTGTGTAAGGTTGATTTCAGACTATCAAGCAGCAAGTCCTTCTCGTTCAGCTTTTGTTCGTAACATAATTCAAGTTCTTTTCTCTGCGCCTTAAAGGGAAACCAACAGTCTTAGAACAGGAAGCAACCAGATATTTACAGATATATCTAGATGACATACTGGACCTCATTTATATGAAGAAAGCATGAAATAACCAATAACATCAAACAGCTTTAACCTGTAAATGTTCACTGGCAGGCTTGAAAGGAAACATTTGATTGGCTGATCAGAGTTAAAGCTCAAGTTTAATCTGCTTATAATTTTGCCCACCCTGCTAACATTTGTAAAATTAAAATAATACAAATAATAATAACCACATTTCTGTTTTCATTACATACTTTACGTTTGACCTACTGAGATAATCACTAGGTCTCTCTGCTATTCTACGTAATGCAGACAGATCATGGCTGGTAGGAGAGCCCTGCAGGGTGTTACATATCTTCCTGAAAACATCACAGGACCCTGCCTCACTTCTCCTCTCAAAAGCTCTCAGCCCTGATGCAAGCAGTGGGTTGGCTCTTGGGAGGAGTTATGGAAATATCAAATAGCCCTGATGGGTAGATGCCAGTCTGGATGAGTGGACGCTCCTAGGCATGCAGAATTTGCATACAGCCTGCTCGATGTAACACCCACATGTCATGCTCCGCTTCTATGACTGAAAAAGATAGATGGCTGGAGAGGTAAATCACCGACAGTCCCCTATATCTCTGAGACTATGGGGCTGATTTACTAAAGGCAAATCAGCTGAATTCTTCCGTAGTATAGTAAATGTGGTGAAAATTAATTTCCATCATCCAATCACATAAAAGTAAAAATAAATAAATAATAATCAAATATATATATATCTATATATATATATATATATATATAAAAAAAAAAGTAATACAAAAATTAAAGAATCATTAAAAAAAATAAAGAAGCATTAAAAAAAATGAAAAAAAAATGTTTAAGTCCTCCGCCCCCTACATAGACACGCAGATATGTGTCCGGTGCGAAAACAACGATTGCGCCTTTTGTGCTGCACATGTTACATATAATAACGGAGTGTGAGCAATAATTTTAGGGCCATTAATTACTGATAAAACTAAACTGATGAGCGGTGAAAGCGTTTCAAGCTTATATATATATATATATATATATATGTATGTATGTATGTATGTATGTATGTATATGTATATGTATGATCTGCAATCCTGCTGTTCCAATTATAAGGGGAACTCACCAACCCGGATTCTCCCCTGACCCTAAAGAGAACTATGGGACAAAAAGGTTACCCCATAGTTCTCTTTTAACATACACTTTAAGCACAGACCCTTCTTGTTTCTAAGGCTCGACTTCCCACTGTTGAATCACAAGGGTGGTGCTTACTGTCAGGAGGGGGCGGGTATCACCTGGTCCTAGGAACCAACAAGCTTCACAGCGACACGGGGATCTATCTTGGAAGGATCACTTGACCACATCAGCATCAAACCGACCCTAAAAGTGTGAATTTGGTAGCGGAGGGTCGAAGGCTCCAGCTGATGCATGAGGTCCATAGTGTCAATTGCTTCTAAGCAGAATGCCGCGCTTGCACTAAGGGATTGGAGCAGTGAAACACTGGCACTATGATATAACACTACTAAGCACCGCCTTCAAACACAACTGAGCATGTACTGCGCTCCATGGATCTACACGCCTTTTTGTTTGCTGAAACAGAATCTCCTACAATGACAGATCAACCAAAGTACATAAAAGTCTGGAAATGTCAGCAGGGCCAGAAGGATACAACAAGGTCAGAAATTAAGAAAAAAGGGGAAAAGGAAAAAAAACATTTCCCCTTAGAGCTCATTCAGATGGGCATGCAGATTTGTACGGTGCGCCCACCTGTAAAAAGACCCGATCCCAGAAGGAACATGTGTTGCGTGTAATTGAGCGCAGCAGCCAGTTCTTCCCTATTGGAGGACGCGGCTGCAGGCAATTACACACAGTCAGATGTACATCCAATCCCGCACATTCAAGTGTATATAAAGGCAAAACTTTTTTTTTTTTTAGACGAGGGGGTTAGACCCTCTGGCAAGTTCAAGGTTTTTATTGTTCTCTGTAGGGCTGCAACATCTAAATCGATGATGGAAATAGTTGGCAACTATTCTCATTATCGGTTAGTTGGTTGGTGGGGGGGAAAGAAAAGGGAGAAGGAGAGGGGGAAAGAAAAGGGAGAAGGAGAGAGGGAGAGGGAGAAGGAGAGAGGGAGAAAAAGAGAGAGAGGGGGGAAGGAAGAGAGAGAGGGGGGAAGGAAGAGAGAGAGGGGGGAAGGAAGAGAGAGAGGGGGGAAGGAAGAGAGAGAGGGGGGAAGGAAGAGAGAGAGAGAGAGGGAGCGAGAG